CGAATACGAGCAATGTTACGCAAATGATAGAACGACGTCTTACAGATATTATTACAGATATTATTCCAGTTTTTCTCTTTCAATTTTTTTCTTGACTTAAATCAAACAAAAAGAATAAGAAAAAACAAAATGTTGGTGAGGAAAAGAAGTGCTAAGTTAAATGTATTTTTGTGAGCGATTCTGAACCCCAACCAACGCATGTCACGTCTAGACGTGACTATTCAACCGGAAGTATATTTCAACCGGAAAAAATATTTCAATCGGGACTTGCTTTCTCGCATGTCTTATAACATGAACTAGTTATTCATTGACGAGTGTATTTTGGCTGGGGGGTAAAAAACAGAAAGCCTCGCTGTAATTACGTGGTAAGATTCGGACATGGTAAGATTTTTTTTATTTTTTATTTTTGAAAAGTGAATAAATTATCGGTCATTTGACCTTTGCCCTTGGCTCACATCACGTGTCCTACTCGTGAAACCTGCACACATGACTTGCAGCATTCTTCGTTTGATTACCAGACGTTCGCAAACCTAAATTATTCATGAGAAAACGTAGGAAGTCTGTGTTAAATCGCCTTGAAAGCTAAAAAATATGACGAAGCAAAAGAGATACGACGTGAATTCGTTAGAAAGCGAGAATGAAGAAAAGACAGGCAAGGAACGAAAATGGAGCGTCATTATGGCTACCTTTGTGGCTGCTCTTGGCCCCTTGACGTTCGGGTATTGTATGGGTTATTCCTCTGCTGCAACCACACAATTAGAGATAAATGAAGACAATATAAACAGTACACAACTGCACCTCACTGTATCTGAAATCAGCTGGTTTGGGGTAAGAAAATTCAGAAATTATGAATTAGTTTTGCTTGTAAAAGCCTTGAGTTMGGTTACCGAGGAAATATGAAACCAGGCTCTCATATTCCCTGCTTCATTCATGCCTTTAGTTCATTTTTACAGACAAAAATTGTCAAGAGGAATTTAAACAAAAGAAAGTCTTATCAGAGAATATCTTTACTAAACTCTTGCATTTTTGGTTGCCAGGATTTTATTAAGATTAATTGAAAACTAAAATGCAATTTTTTAATTAGATTTTTCATGTTTAAATTAATTAACATAACACTTGCTTACTTTTTTCTGCGTTAGCTTATATTTATTTTGTCGAAGATTTGTGGACTTTTCTGATGACCCCGTCCATCTCATTCAATAAATCTTTTAGCAACTGCGGAAATTAATAATTTTCTGGTTTTAATTTGTTAAATTGTCTAGTTCTTGTGCAAGAAGGTCACTTCCGGTCTCACGTGCTTGGGTGGGTTGTGTTTGAACTCCCACCCCAGACCGTGTTACAAAACATGGAAAAAATATTTATCATAATGGATATTTCATACAACGGAAGAAACTGAATCCTCATTTATTTCAGTGGTTTATTTTTATGAAGACTTTACAGCTATCATCAAGAAAGTTAACATATTTTAAAAATCTTATTCACAATTTTATAACAAAATGGAACTTGAGACTATAACCTCGTAGGGCTTCCTTTCGTCAATGGAATTAAGCCGAGTTTTTGGAATTTTTGAAATTCCAATAATCCATAAGTAACTTGGGTCTTATTTTTTCATTTCTCAGTCTGATTTCTCATTAGAAATAACAACTAATGAGATGGGAGGTTCGTTTTTCTACCAATCTTAGTTATATTATTTCATTTCTTGATAAACATTTCATTGCGTTATTGGATCTTTATTGCATTTTTTCGTACAGGGGAGAGGGGGGTTCATTTGAACCATTTAACCACCCCTAGCGATGGGCCTGCAATGGCTCACTTGCGTGCTCCTCACAGTGGAATGTCAATTTAGAATATTTTGCCAACACCCCCAACCCCTCTTCCCCACTCATAGTGAGAATGAAGTGCACAACCAAACAAAACAGAAATTGCTAATAAAATTTATCTTATTCCTGTTGCAGTCCCTATTAAACATTGGTGCTATGATAGGAGGACCACTACAAGGCTTCTTGATTGACCTCCTGGGCCGCAAGATTGCTCTTATACTCACCTCAATTCCTTTCTGCTCAGGGTATCTTTTAATTGGTTTTGGTAGTAATGCTTCAATGTTAAACAGTGGTAGGTTCATGTCAGGATTGGGAGTAGGAATGGCCTCTCTTAATGTACCTGTAAGTACTGAATAATCTCTGTGTTTTTTTAGTATTCCATCCAATACACCTGTTTTCCTTAGACAGAAGGAAAAGATTATTATTTATTACCTTGGTGGAGGGGGCTGGGGAATTTCTGATCCCCTCTCTCCCCAAGAAGAGCTTTTTTTATGGTCCCCCACAACTAGTGGCTAGAGTGATCACCCCCCTCCCCCATTGATACCTGTAAGTATGTAGCTGATACCCCTCTAGTAATCTAATTACCAACCCTCACAATTACAGACAATTACAGACCATGTGTCTTTTTCTTGAAAATAAGCAAAATTCAGTTCTAAAGAAAAGCTCTTTGAAACAAACGAGTTCTCTCCCTGAGTCGTACTAATGGGGTTCTTGTGGTTTTGGAGGGAACTTGCGTTCCAAAAAAAAAACGCGCGTTCGAACACGTCAACCCCCCTACTCCCCCTGTTCGCGAATTATTCTAAATGTGGCAGAATTGAACAAGAGTGAATGTTTGCCCAGTGCTTCTAAGTATATCAACCTAAATGATTCCATTGTCAATGATTATTTCAAAGGTTTACATCTCAGAGACAGCATCTTCAGGTAGTCGTGGTGCTCTTGGATCTGTCAATCAACTGGGAATTACTTCAGGAATCCTTATATCTTACATAGTTGGGTTCGCCATGAATTGGCGATGGTCAGCCCTTGTGGGCGCCTTCCCTCCAACTATTCTTGTTGTTCTCATGGCGTTTATGCCTGAGACAGCCAGGTGGCTGATGGCCAAAAAGAAAGAAGAAAAAGCAAGGAAGAATCTCAAATGGTTGCGGGGGCCTAATGTCGACGTTGAAGTTGAACTCGACGAAATAAGATTAACTCTTGGTGAGTGGAGAAAACCTGTTTGGTGTTGTAGTCAAACCGGTTTCTCAATGCTTTACAGTGATCAAACCTGTTTGTTACGACAACCAAATCTGTTTTGGTAGCATGAAAATTGATGCGCGCGTATCAAAAATTCTATTCTAATAGCCACATTTGCAAATGAACCGTAAATTCCTTGTCGATTCAGATGCAAATGACCCAGTAGTAAAAACTTCTTTTCAAGAGAATAATTGACTCTTGAGCTCAAAAAAACTTGATACATGTGTTTGATACATGATTGGTTGATAGCAGCTGTGACGTCACGATTCGGTATTTTTCATCTTAGTACAGTTTTTGGTATGACTAAAAAATTCACGGAACGATCGTTGCATTCAATTTTTTGCCATTCTGATGGGATAAGCAGAGTTATAGCACAATGTGTCCAGTAGGATGTCATAGATTCCGTGCCGTGACGTGACGTTCCGCAGTCATACGAATTGCACTCAATTATATAGAAATCTTCTCTCTGTGCGCTGCGTCCCAGGAAAACAGTGACCATCGCCTTCGGACCCTAGATATATTGTATTTGTCAAGTTTCTTACGTTCTGAAAAACTTTTTTACATTGTAGCTTCCGAAAAAGGCAAGTTTTCTCTCAAGGAGTTCGCTCAACCCGGTCTCCTACGACCCTTTATCATCAGCATGACATTACATTTTTTCCAGCAGTTCAGCGGCATCAATGCCGTCATGTTCTACTGCGCCACCATCTTCCAGAAGGCAGGCTTCGATAAGCAGAGTACTTTAGTACCCATTATAATCGGAGCAGTGCAGGTCTTATCGTCTGCTGTATCTCTATCTCTGGTTGATCGTGGAGGTCGACGATTCCTCCTCATCACCGCAGGAATCAGCATGACTATTAGCTGCACCTTCACCGGTATCTACTTCCAAATCATCAAAGACAGCCCTGACAGCGCGGATGCACTCTCGTGGATAGCAGTAACAAGCCTTTCGATATATATAGTCGCGTTTGGTTATGGGTGGGGTCCGTGCACGTGGTTGATCATGAGCGAGATCTTCCCTGTACGAGCCCGCGGTACAGCCAGCGGTATTGCTACTTTCTTCAATTGGTTTTGTTCGTTTATTCTGACGAAAACGTTTAGTGATCTACTATTGACGTTGACGCCGGCGGGAACGTTTTGGATGTTTGCTGTTATCCTGTTGCTGTCTGTCTTATTCGTTTACTTTTTTGTGCCCGAGACGAAAGGGAAAACTTTGGAAGAGATTCAGCGAGAGTTCGAGGCGAAAGGAAAGAAAGGGAAAGGAATGTACCGAGAGACAAATGTATAAAGACGTAATATATGGGAAACGTACAGTGACTAACTTCATTCTTCTCTTCAGCAAAACTCAAAACAAGTTGTTGTCAAGCTTGGTTAAAATTGCATTTTTTTGACCCACGCAACTAAAATATAAATAAGAACCTCATAATTTCTCTTCATGTTAAAGGCTTTTCTGTTTTTACGAGTCGTAAAGATCGACTTCAAATTTAATAGCAGTAGGCTTTCAGAGCCTCTCTCTGACGTTAGAGTAACAGTGTCCTTTCAAAAGGTGTGCTGCGCACATTGGTATAATATTATCATGTATGGTGCAATAATTTTCATGAAAAATGTTAGTTGGTTAGATGAATGATACGCACTTGTACATCATGCCACAAGAAGGCATTAACATGTGATATCACTCAGGCCGTCTCACACTATCACAATTCGAATCAATCACTGCAGATTTCCTTATATTTCAACCTTTTGTTTGACGATGTTCATGGTTTTTTTTGGTTCATTTTTATTCATTTTAAATTTGCTTGTAGGTTGAAGGTTGTAAAACCAGTTGTGGGACTTTATTGCACATATTACTGCACCAAAAACATTAGTCTATTCACTATGAAATTTGGGCAAGTTTTAAGTATATTCACTTTTCTTTTATCGTGGGTATTGAGCTTTTTTTATTTGGGTTTTAGGTATAATTTCGTACATGTTGCATGCATAAGGTAGATTCAGTTCATTTGCAAACATTTCTTCTTAGACATTATGCATATAATACACACACAAAAACGTTTGTTGGGTCTATTCTGTGATTTGAGGGATTTTTTCTGGGTTCTCCAGTTTATCTGCCTTCACAAAAGCCAGCCCTGATGAAACCAAGGGTTTCAAAGAAAGAGCAAAAAATCACAAACAAGTTATTACAGGCAATGTTGCTTAGGTAGGATCGTTTTCTACTTTTCCAACATTGTGGGACAAATTGTGTTGTGTGACATGGCTCACAATATCAATTGCCAGCAACGTGGTGTGCAATATTACAGGCAGTGTTGCTGAAATAGGATTGTTTTCTACTTTACCAACATTGCTTGTGTCAAATTGTGTCGTGCTGGCTCACAACATCGGTTGTCTACAACATTGCATGCCATTTGCACCGTGTCTGTAGCTTTAATCTTTTTTGATTGTCTTCCCTTAGTTAAGTTAAGTGAGCTTCAACTCACTGATAACTATTTCTTCAAATTGAAAAGCCTTTAAAATTTCATTCCTCTGATATTTAAAAACCTTTCACTTTCTTTATTTCATTCTTTGCTTCACATTACTTCAAAATGTAAATAGTTATGACTAATTAATATATAAATTGTTTGTTATATTTTGTTTTTAAAATTATTTTTAAATAAAAAAGTATAAACTCTATGATCTGTAATGTAGGGTGTTATTGAGGGCCATAAGTTAACTCACTGGGTTAATATGGCACCTCTAAAGTTTATCGTGTTTTATTGTATCGTATCTCTATATTTGGTAAACACTTTTTCCACTACTTCATTGCCATGATGTGTTCAAACTCTTTCTCAAGCTGTCTGACAAACCTGTGATTCATGAACAGCAGCTACAAAATAAAGAAAGGTGTACGGTATGTTGAGGATTATTTACCAAACAGTTTTGTATCATGATCATGCTGTGTGGCAAAGGCCTGAATGTTGGTTTGAACAATGCATAGCCTTGCATATAAGTGCTCAAGAATGAATTTATGTGGGTCAAACAAAGGTTTTTATTCTTGTGAGAACATATGGTCGCCATATGATAAGCTTCCATGCCACAAAACTTTCAGAAGATTGCAGTTGATGCTTTGTGGTCTAGCTTGGATACAAACATCTTTTGTTCATGGTGTGTTTGTACCAAAGCTAGAAGGAAAAGTGTTATTTAGAGAAGTGTGAAAACTAATGACATGATGGTATAAAAGGGTGCTGTTTATGAGCATTTTGATTGGCTAAGCATTCTGTGATTGGTTGAAATCCTAACATTGTCAATCTTGTACCATGTCCCATGAATAGACCTTTCCAGAGATGGCAATGAATGCATTACTTCTTACCTTTGGTACATCATAACTTATATGGTGTTTTCTTATACCCAAGCTCAGACCAAAATGCGTCCTGGTCATTAAACTCCAAGAAAGCCTATCTAATAACCATTCACCCTCTACTCTATTGCATATTTACATACAATACTTGGCCTTTTAGGTTTAGGAGTGGATTCAAGAAGGGGAATTGCAATTCTATGTTGACTAATGAAATCCTATTGTAACGAATGCATATATATAAGAAGTTTTATTGTTTGACACTAACCTGGCCATTTGGTAAAAATTGGAATAATATAACTGAGAGCTTATCAACCTTCAATATTGCCTAGAATTTAAAAGAATCCTAGATTAGAATTTCTGTCCCTTTAGCCACCTTATCGTCTCCTGCTTGAACAACCAATCTTCAACATAGAAGCAAGAACTGGGTGGCTGTTAAASTGTGGGTAAGCATGATGAATCTCACTGCTGGCTATGCAAAATGAAACCAGARGAGGTCCAGGGATATGCTCTGAAGGAAATTCTTAAAATATGGTTTCCAGAATTACTATTTTCTGCATTCTGAGAATATTTTGGACCAAACAAAATGTTTTTAATGAATTCCAAACTAAAAGGGGAACTGCAGCTCCATTACCAATCCTAATTACACCTCTGCACTATCAATGAGAATCTGGAATAACTGTATAAACATTTTACTGACACTTTGTAAGAACTTACCTCAGTTGGCTGAAAGATTACTCTGCAGTAATCTTGTAAGTACCTAATGAGTAGTGTCAAGACATTCTCTGCCAACACTCTGTTTTCAGTCTTTTCACAAATTAATGTAAATCCACAACTGGAATGAAAAATAATTTATTAATGAATAATATTATATATAAAATGAGATTAAAAAAGGTCACATTGTAAATTTTGTATGTAACATGGCATTCATCCACTGGATTGACCTATTCAGCTTAGGTATAAATGTAAATGTTTCCTATCTTTTGGCGGCATTACTGAAAAATATATATATACTCAAGAATATATTACTTTTAGAAATGGATGCAAGGTCACAATGGTGAAATTCAAAAGCTATGCAATACAATACAATTCATTTTTCTCTGTATTCTTCCAACAGCATTTAGGTGACCCTTTACTATATTAGGCTGAGATTTAACAAGATTGTTGATGGTTCTACTAARGCATACTTTTCTAATCTCAGCTTTATCATTTTATATATAGAATGTTCTGGGCCCAGTTGTTCAAAGCCCGATTAGTGTTAATCCTGGGTTAACTCTTTATAAGACCTATAGAGTTAATCCTGAATTAGCGCTAATCCAGCTTTGAACAACCTGGCCCTGATGTCTGAAGTGGTTGACCAATGCTTAGGAAAAGGTACTTACTTTGCTATGCCCTTCCATACCACAACCTTTTCTGAGTCAAAAGGATTGCCATCTGCAAGCCTAGTAAAAGCAAAGTAGAATGATTTATTGATTTCAATAGAGGCTTTGCCCATCACTTGATGCCCGCCATGACAGGAGGCACAACAGTAGAGTCTTTTTCCCCTGGGAAACTGAATTATTTTTAATGTAAATAAGATTAGACTACCATCACCTAATGATGCAAATATCCTTGTTACTTAATTAAATTCCTTGCACCTTTTAAAATGTACTCTACCTAAATATTCCTGATTCCAGTTGAGATAGGAGTCTGAAAAGTGAAAAGGTTATATATCATCATTCATCAGGCCCATAAGGACACACAATCGTAACCTGCGTTGTTGGCAGTGATCTGCAGTGATGGCACAAAGAAGAGAATGGGGTCTCTATCCCTCTTTTCTTTGCAACACTGCAGACTGCTGAATAGTGCAGGCTAATACAGTAGAGGATGGTTTTTGAACCAATCACAGTGCACAAGGTTCTCAAGGTCATCCAATCAAAATGCTTGGACGCTGTGCCCTTATGGTACAGTACATTATGTCATAAAGTAAATTTTCCAAAGTCATGAAAAATGTTCTTTATCTCATGATAAGAGTATAGAGGCTTTGCACCATCACATGATGGCAGCCATGACAGGAGGCAGGAACAATAGAGTCGTTCTCCCATGGGAAACTGAATTCTTTCTCATGAAATGCAGATATGACAAGATTCACTTGTTCCTGCCTCCTGTCATAGCTGCCATGGTGCAAAGCCTCTATAGTTAATAGGGTTCTAAATAATGGCCAGTAAAAAGATAATGTCTAGACTGAAAATCGGAACCTGTTCAGCCAAATGCCTTTTAGACTAGTCATTTTGACTGCTTGACTGGTCACATGTTGATCAGTCATATGTGGCCAGTAATAAGCCACTGAGCAGCCATTATTCTTGGCCATGTTAAATACTTTCTTTATAGGGGCAGAGGTGGAAAAAATTGTAAATTCTCTTATAGATGATCATCTTTTTTTACTGACACTGGCTGATTCTTTGTGGTGAAGGGATCACAAGTAAGTAAATATGAACTGTCAAGTTCATCTCCCTGGAATGTTTGTCAGTTAACTTCGTTTCGTCTCAAGTCTGGTTTCTACAAGTCTCGTATTGCCGTTGGAAAAATATCTAAGCATGGTTATACTTCATTATCTATTCCTGGTCATGATCCTCCAACTGATATTACTATTTCTATGGATATTCATCGTAAT